TATCTTTTGCTGAAACCTTGTTTTTGTAGCCTCCTTAAATCACCACACTGTTTCTCCTCCAAAAACACACTCCAAGTGCCCACACCAGCACTGTGCATTGAAATTTCCCTTCTGCAGCAGGGATCAGGGTGTAAACCAAACCAGCAGCACTGAATCCCCACTCCCAGCACACAGGATAGCTTCATTTCTACATTGTTAAATGCAGAAATTGTTCTTCATTTCTACACTGTTAAATGCAGAAATTGTTCTTCATTTCTTCATTGTTAAATGCAGAAATTGTTCTTCATTTCTTCATTGTTAAATGCAGAAACTGTTCTTCATTTCTACATTGTTAAATGCAGAAATTGTTCTTCATTTCTTCATTGTTAAAAATTAACTTTCAAGTCTCGCTGCTCCTCATTCAGGTGCTGAGCTTCACTCCCCCAGGCCTTTGGCTCTGGCTCAGGCAGATTTGGGGCAGCAGTGAGAAGAGCTGAGTTCAGCAGCACACACAGCCCTGACCAGAGCCTGACCAAAACTGACCCTGTCCAGCACCCTGTGAGGAGCCATTTCACACCTCAGTGCCCCAGGTCAGCCCCCTGCACCTGCAGGAGGGGGCAGCAGCAGGGTTTGCTTTGGATTCAAACAAAGAAGCACTTTCCTGAAGCCTTTGCAATGTCTCCAGAGCAAAACAAACAAAAAAACCTAAACCAAGCTTCCCTGTGTCCTCCCATGTAAGCCAAATGGCCACTATCAAATAAGCAGAATGGCCAAAAAAGAGGCACCAGCACTCCACATTCTTGTAATTCAATCAGCTTTAATCATCAAAGATGTTTTCACTAACCTGCAGCAAGGGCATTTGTTCTAATAACCTTGAATAGAGTAGTGACACTTTAAAGATGGCTCCACTGAACAAAGAAAGATAAAAAAGCAATTTATGGCAGGATGGTGAATCTCAAGGCAAATTCCCACTACTGTAAATTGCAGCTTTTTCTCCAGGCCAATCCCTCTCCACACAGCAAGGACTCTGTCAGAGCTGCTTTGCTACACATCCTCCTGCCCTTCTGCTCCTCACTGGTCAGGATATTCCTCAGGATGGTATTTGCAGTGGTGATTAGAAAAAATAAACAGTTCAGTCACAAGAACTGGGCCAGCACCCAATGGCACAAAGGACCTTGTCAACCTCGATGTGCTTGGCAGCCTATGAAACCCATGGCACCCAATTCCAGCCTCTAGACTCTCACCAGCCTTCACAAAAACCTTCTGAAAAACACCTCACAAAACCTTTGGGAAGCACTGGATTCTGCTGCAAAATCCTGGGTGAGATTTTTGGTGTATATGTCAAATGATGCTATAAGCTCCCTTCATAGCAACCTCCAGATAAAAAGAAATATGGAACGAAAATGGGTTTTTTTGAGTTCAGGAATCTCTCAGGTACAGCTGCCTGCTTTCCACACATCCCACCAAAACCCAACCACTCTTCTCAGGAGAGGCCTTTGCTGGAGACACAAGGACAGCTGAGTGCCCACAGGTCCATCAAAGCATTACAGCAAAATGAGGTGAGGTTTGTAATTAGCAGCCATGGTGGTGGCTTATATTGTTTCTGCTATGTCACCACTGGGAATTGAATAGAGGGTTCCATAAAATCAGTCCAAAAATCAGGTAGGTTTCAGCCATGAGGAACCTGGCTGCCATTTCAACTGGCACTTCAGATGCAGGAGACTCTATCCATCTCCATTACAAATCCTCTGAGCTCATCCCAGCATTACTTTCCCACATTAAGCAAAAGAGTTCACATAAAAAGCCTGCCTAGCTTCAGACATTATCCAGATAAAGAGGAGAAAAGAGAAAATCCCTTGTATTACCTCTCTCAGCTCTCCCCAAACCTCTTCTGACGTCTTTGTTCTTTCAGACCTGGCATTTATCTGCAGATATTATAGAGCCCTAATTAAATCTTCTCCTGAACCTCTGCTACTTCCTGACAGAGAGCACACATTCTTGGTGTGCTGATGGACCTACAGGATTTTCTGCACTCCTCCCTCATGGTGAGTGTTAGGCCTTGCTTGGAAACATCACAACTGTGTACAATACAATATGTTTCAACAGAAATACAAAATTATTCCATTTCTTTCAAAGAATGAAGAGAAGCATAAGCGAAAATTATATTCCACAAGCTCATTGGAAAAACAAACTGTGGAAGCACTGGGCAAATAGCAGTGTCTGAGAACAAGGCATGCTTTTGTTTTACTGCTGTTTCAGAAAGGGATAACTGGCAGCGACAGGAGAAGCAGAAAAATTTGTCTTCCAAAATAAAATCTGCAGTTATCTCTTCCCCCAGGGAGTAAAGGAAAACATTCTGAAAGTGCAGCTGAATTTTGCATTAAGGGAAGCTGCACACCTCACCTTATCTGATGGAAGCAGCTCAGTGTTCAAAGCCTCCGAGCTGGCAGCGAGCAAGGGGATGTGAGAGCTGTGAAAACCTTCAGCTCTGGGCTTCAACGGGCAGAAGGCTAAAAAAGCAGATTTTACCCTCCCTCCCAGCCCCCCAACAACTCTTCAGTTCCTTCAAACTGATGCTAAGAGAAGCTGCCAATGAAGAGGAGAAATTGGTGCCTTCCATCCCCAGGCTGAGGCCTGGCCCAGCTGGCCAAACACAACAAAGCCTCTAAAATCACCTTTCTCTTTCTCTGCTCTCCTTATTCTCCTCTGATCCCCAGCACTGCTCTCCCGCAGCAGAAGAAGCAAACAGCCCAGATGGCTGAGGGTAAACAGCAAGTTGTACATGTGCTCCATATAGGCTGAAAAGAGAGCCCAGCCACGCTCCAGCACAGCGTGAGACTCACCCAGGCAAGGCCCCCTCACCTCAGCCAGGGCTGGCCCTGCACGTGGGCATGAGGAAAGGACCAGAAAAGAGGTTTGAGGCCATCAGCTGATACTCTGCAAAGTTTTCTCCACTGTGGTTTTCAAAGAGTTCCATCATTCCATGAATCAATGGAGAACAGCTCTAGGTTAGACTATGCACAGAAGCACAGAATGCTTTGGGTGGGAAGGGTCAGTAAAGATCATCTCATTCCACCCTGCCATGGCAGGGACACCTTCCCCTCTCCCAGGCTGCTCCAAGCCCTGTCCAGCCTGGCCTGGGACAGTCCCAGGCATGGGGCAGCCACAGCTTCTGTGTGAAACCTGTGCCAGGGCCTCCCCACCCTCACAGGGAAGGATTTCTTCCCAATATTCCACCTAACCCCACTCTCTTGTCAGTTTGAAGCCATTCTCCCTTGTCCTGTCACTCCAGACCCTCTCTCTCCATCTTTCCTGCAGGTTCCCTTCAGATTTGGGAAGGCCACAATGAGGTCACCCCAAGGCTTCTCTTTCCCAGGCTGAACAATCCCAATTCTCCCAGCCCTCCCTGGCAGGAGCCATGCTCAGCTGAGCATCACCTTGGCTTTGGGACTGCCTGCCCTCCTGCACTGCAGGAACCTGAGCCAGCCTCTTCCTTCCCACTGCAATGTCAGAGATCTTAAATTTCTTCAGGGCCCAACAGGGGAAAGCAGGAGGCACTGAGAGCCCACCCACCTGAGGTGAGAACTCAGAGTCACCAAACTCTGCATGAGTGATGCTCAAGCTTTCCCCTTCCTCTTCTTCGCCCCAACCATGGCAACCCAGACCAAAACATGGGTAGCCAGGGAAGAACACATCTGTGGGAGGGAGGGAGCAGCCACAGCAGCCCAGGGAGGCCTTGGCTGGCCAGGCAGTGAAAGCTGGCTCAGAATAAGCTGCTAATGGCACTAAAGCGTTATCAGAACCACAATTTAGCCTCCAGGCTGGAAAACGAGCACTCATTTGTGTCTCCAGACCACATCACCCCCCTGCCCACTCAGAGGCACAGGGAGGGTTCAGTACTTCGGGAAAGAGTGGCTCAATGACTGGGTGGTCCATCAACTTCAGGAAAAGGAGATGAGGGATGCAACAACCTTCCTGCATCCATCTCGACGTGGAGTCGCTCTGTTCTCATGGACAGCAGCCTGGTCCCCAGAGCTTCTCTGCCCTCTGATCTCTCCACACCCCCATTAACCCCAGAGTCCCTCACTGAGGCCTCCAGCACTCCCCAAACGCCTTCCAGCCCCTCCAAGCCCCGGGCACCCCTGGAATCCCTGCTCCCCAGAGACCCCCCACACCTCCAGAGCCCCCAGAGCTCTGGACCCCCACACCACCCCCAGCCCCACCATCAGCCCGCAGTGATCCCCACAACCCCCCAACACCTCCCCTAAGCCCCAGAGCCCCTCACCGAGCCCGGATCTCCCCCATGGGCTCTCACAGACTCTGCCCCCACCGCTCCCACAGCCCCTCACGGACCCCCAGGGCCGCCCCAGCCCCTCAGCGACCCCCAGAGCCCCCCGCTGCCTCCAGTCCCGCCCGCCGACCGCAGCCCCCGCGGTGTCCCCGGGCTCCCCCGGGCCCCTCCGCGCTCCGCAGGCCGCCGTACCGAGGCTCTGCCCCACCGGGGTGCTGAACGGGTTCCCCAGCAGAAACTCCATCTTGGGATGACAACAAACAGCGGCCCAGCGCCCACCCCTCCCGCACCGCGCCCTGACCGACAGCGGCGTCCACCAACCACAGCGCGCTCTGGCAGCTGAGTCCCGCCTCCCTGCGGTCAATTGGACAGCTGCAGGACGCGCGGCAAAACCATTGGTTAAAGAGCGTGTCCATCACTGTCAAGAGAGGGGCCCGCCCCCACGATAGTCCCGCCTCTTTTCCCGCCCTCCCTTTGATGGACAGCGGGGACAATGAGGCTGCCATTCCCTATTGGGCAAAGCCCGAAACTATCTGCAACATTATTGGACAAAGCGAAAGTCAATCATCCGAGCCCTCTCCGCCCCGAGGGCACGGTCCCGGCGCTGATTGGCTGACACGGATTTCTCGAGCTCTGATTGGTATCTGGCCTCCCCACCCCCTCCACGCCCATTGGCGGCTGAGCCGATCACGTGCCTCCCTTAGCAACGCACCTGGGCTTCCTTAGCGACGGGCGCTGAGGCGCGGGTGGGAACCGGGAACGAGAATCGGGAACGGGAACGGGGAACGGGGAACGAGAATCGGGAACGGGAACGGGGAACGGGAACGGGGAACGGGAGCCGACCCAGACCCCCGGGGACCTGCGGTGAGAGGCCTGTGGGGCCGGGATCGGGGCCTCGGTGGGTCCTGGGAACGGGAGGCGGCGGCTCCTTCCCACCCACCGGGCAGGGGTGGCTGGAACCGGCACTGACCGGAGAAACGCTGGACAAATGACATCCCTGGAGTGCCCAGGGCCAGGTTGGGGCTTGGAGCAGCCTGGGACAGTGGAAGGTGTCCCTGCCCATGGCAGGGGTGGAACAAAATGAGCTTTAAGGTCCCTCCCAACCCAAATAACTCTGTGATTGTACAAGAAAGAGAGAGAGGAAGGTCAAGGATGGATAAATCCAGATCCTGCTGCTCCTCGGTGTGTGCTGCATTGGTTTGTTAATGAAACGCCAGAATGAGAACAGAACTCTCCCAACTCTGGCATTTATCATCGCAAATGTCCTATGCAAAAATAAATCAGGACTCACTCTGTAATTATAAACATCTTACACAAGCAAAAGTTTGGAGATTCGAGTCCTTCACAGCGATTCATTAACTCTGCACAGTTTGAGAAAGACAAACAGTCTCATTGCCTCCAGGGCAGCATTAGGGATATTTAAATTTCCATGAAAATTTTCTTCACTGAAAGGGTTGTCAAGCACTGGAACAGGCTGACAAGAGAAGTTGTGGATTCCCCATCCCTGGAAGTGTCCAAGGCCAGGCTGGACAGGGCTTGGAGCCACCTGGGATAGTGGAAATTGTCCCTGCCCATGGCAGGGGTGGAATGAGATGAGCTTTAAGGTTCCTTCCCACCCAAACTATTTTGGGATTCTGTGATCCTATCACTACTGGAAAGTGATTTAATTTATTTTCATTTTTATAATCATTGCCAGGCAGAGATTTAATTTATTTTCTTTTCTATCCTTTAAGGCTGATCCTGTCTCACAATGACTCAGTTTTTCAATAACATTGAGCCAAACGTTATTGATGATGAAATCCTTCAGAAAGCCATTGAGGAGAAGTGTCCAGAGGACCTTGGAGATATTGCCAGAAAGGAAAGTATTAACGTTAACGTTGTGACAGAGATACAAATTAGTTTTAAAAGTGAGTATCAGAATATATACATATTTTTCCTCTTCTTTTCATAGAAGTGGGTAACTGGCAATTAAGCAACCATTATTAGCTGGGATTTATTACGTGAAAATTAACATCTGGACTTGGACTTTTGCTCATACCTGTACAAAGCAGCTTCATCAGAGGAGTTTTTGCTGATGGGTGACTTCAGAGCTGCTTCACTTCCCACTCTCACTGTCACTGCTGTTCTCATTTAACATTTATATTGTGGTGACACCTACAGGCCACAGCCCTGTTGGGCCCCTCAGTTCGTGGCCAAACCCAGCCCTGGGCAGGTTCTGCCGTGGCTGGTGGTTGTGTGGGAGCTGTTGGGGAGATTTTGGTGCTCACAGTCCAACCCGATGGCATTCTCTGCTCACCCACACCATTACCATGGCTTGCCTCTTACTGTCAAACCTGTCGTAAACTTGCACTCAAAAAAATGGAAAGGAAGAATATTTGGCCCAATATTTGAGTATTGGAGGGAGGGGGGTAATTTCAGTTGATTATTCTTTGCGTGCTCCAGTATAATAATGTGTGTATGAGTTGATTTTCTTAGAAAAGATTCCCTTGGCCTGATCCTGCATGGATTTGTTTGCAAATCCAAAATCCAGAAGTGTGTGAATATTTTGTGCATGCAATCCCTTGGTTTATGGTGCCCTCACTAAATAAGGACAGCAGATGAAACCTTCTGGGAAGGCATTGCAGGGGAAAGAGGAATGGGAGTGAGAATATTCTGTATTTCCTGTCACCTTGGTCCTGATCCTTTGCTGTGGTGGCCAACAGCCTGCCCTTGTGATTCTGTTTTTGGAGGAAACTAAATGCAGGGGTATTGATTAGCTCTGAACTCAGCCTTCACAGAAAGAGGAGAATCCAGCTCCTCTGCTGTGCTGAGGATCCCAGGAGCAGGAGAATCATTTCCAGCAGCAGGAGCTGGGCACGGCTGGATTGCAGATGCAGGGGAAAGCTGAGGCTCACCCCAAACCTCTGCTTGCAGCTGGAGAGGAGGATGAAGGTCAGGGCGTGCTGGCAGTGGGTTCAGGAAGGCTCTGGAGTGCAGGACCACACTCAGCATCCCCTGCACGCCTCGTTGGCCCCACTGATAAGCAATGTGTGCTGAGCAGGACACTGGGGTTAAGTGGGATGTTCCATTGGAATCCCATCCAGCCAGGCACCTCTGAGCTCTCCAGGGCACTCATCACACACTGCAAATCCTCCTGCAGGCAAAACTGGACGTGTTTTCCTTGTGCAAGGCAGTGTGGCTGCTAAACAAAGCTGGAAAGCAATTTTCTTTTCTGTCGCAGACATCTTTTATGAAAAATCCTTTCTTAGGTTTTTTCCTCCCGAGAAGCTGAGAGGCCTCAGGAACAAAATGTAAACAATGGTTATCTGCTGCTGTGGAATGCAACAGGTGCATCTGTGATTGGTCTCGTGTGGGTGTTTGGATTTAGTGACCAGTCACAGCAGAGCAGGCTCTAGCTCTCTGTCTGAGCCAGCTGCCTTTGTTTTCATTCTTTTCTATTCTATTCTTAGCTTAGCCAGCCTTCTGAGATGAAGCCTTTCCTTCTATTCTTTAGTATACTATAATGTAATATATATATCATAAAATAATAAATCAAGCCTTCTGAAACATGGAGTCAAATCCTCATCTCTTCCCTCATCCAAAGACCCCCGTGACCACTGTCACACTTTTCTATTTTTTTCTTTTTTCCCTGTGGCTTTAGACATCCTGCAGATTGCTAATCTGTGGCCATTAGAGAATCTGACTAAGCTGCAGCTGGACAACAACGTGATTGAGAAGATAGAAGGTCTGGAGAGTCTGGTTCACCTTGTTTGGCTTGGTGAGATGCAGGCAGGGGAGGGTGGGTGCCTGTGCAGGTGCAATCTGAGATAAAGCAGCATGTCACCTTCTCAAACACCACTGATAGGAGCTTACCCTGGGAAGGCTGTCAGCTGTCTGTGTGTCTCCTCATTTGACTGTCAAATGTCAAAATGCCTGAGTATCAGAGCTGCAAAACAATCCTTCAAAATGTTTAAAAACTGGGTTCAATACATTTGGTGCGGCAGGAACAGGAAGCTGAGGTTTCAATGTTGTTTCCAAGGTTTCTATTGTGTTTAGGGGTGACTTTCAGGAATATTTATGGAAACTCCTCTGTGATTTAGAAGCCTGAATTCTGTTTTCAAAGCTGCTGCAGGCATTCCAAATCCTATCTATCCTTAAGGGCTGGGTGTCAGTGCTGTCCCAAGGAGTGCCCATCCTTGTGGCCTTGTGTGACTGCTTGCAGCTACGCAGATGCACAGCTGAGAGCATTCCCTGGAACTGCAGCCACGTTGCTGGCTGGAATTCTAAATATATCCTCAGCATGCAGGGCTGGAGCTCATAATCACATTGTGAAATGTCTAATGGGCTTTTCCACCCCACTGTCTGCACAGTTCTGCTCCAGAGATGACTGAGGCACTTGTGAATCACCAAGTGATCAGTGTGAGCGCAGTGTTTTGAGGCACACTCTCCTATTTTGTTTGCCCAAAGGCTGCAGTGGCTCAGCTGCTGCTGTACAAGTGTCTCAGCCACCCAAGAGACCTCATAAACTGGTTTTGGGCTCTTGGCTCGCTCAGTACTAATCCTCAGGCAAATCCTGCCCTTAGTCATGGTGAGTGTGGGTGTTAGGAGAGATGTTCTGGCAGGGTAGGAGGACATTTCAATAAGTGAAACAGCTGAAGTGAGCCTTGCACAACTCCACTGACATGGAGCTGTCTTGGTGCTCTGGGAGTGACCACAACTGTGGCAAGAAACAAGGCAGTGCCAGATTTATCACAGAAATTCCCCTCTAAGGGCATTTCCTCACCCCTTGTTTTGTTTCTCCATAAGGCAGAAGTCCCTTTCAGGCTGTGTATGTGGACTCTGCATGGACTAATTTCAGCTTTTCCTCTCATTTAAAAGCTACACAGACAATTGCAAGGAGGAGATGGGAATAAAGGATGATTTAATGCTGAGCTTTTCCTGTGGGGCCTGGACCACCCCTGAGAAAAATCTGTACATAAACTCCTACATCCAGAACTAAAGAGCAGAATCGGGGTGCTCTGCAAGAAATAATTTAATGTTTGATCTTCTTCCCCAGATCTGTCCTTCAACAATATTGAAGTAATTGAGGGCCTGGATACTCTTGTCAAACTGCAGGACCTCAGTCTCTACAGTAACAGAATATCTACAATTGAGCACATGGACACACTGCAAGAGCTGCAGATTTTCTCCATAGGGAACAATAACCTGACCGTGCTGGAAAATGTGAGTGTTCCCTGGCTTTGCAAATATTCCCTGCTGAAGGATCAGATATTCTAAAACTGCCATTTGCCATTGTGTCCAAGCCCCTCCTTAGGTGATAAAATTCTCTTTAGGATTTCTAAGCAGTCTGAGCTATGGGTTTGGTCCTCTGGTGTTAAGTGCTTACTGCAGCCATTTTTCTTTTAGATTATTGACTCATGGGGGCCCAGGTCTGTGACTGCTCTCAGCCATGGCAAAATTCCTATTGGCTCCCATGAAAGCTAGAAAAGGAATAAGTGGCTACATATGAGAAAAGGGGGGAGGCCAGGATTTATTTGAGGTTCTTTTGAGGGCATCTTACCAATTTAAGATCTGTGATTTGTGCACCCCATCTGCCTTCTCTCTCCACCCATTGTCTAGATATTACCAACGTGAATTTAAGTATTTCCTTTCCCAAAACCATTAGCAACTCATAATTGACTATCATGTGAATTTGGCAGCAGAGCAGAATGCATATTGCAACTCAACTGTAATAAAAGCAATAAATTCCAAGGCTGTGCTTCCCCAGCCCTGGGAAACACAGAGCTCTTTCCCTTTGGCACAGGTTATCTACCTCAGGAGGTTAAAAAGCTTACAGACACTGAACCTCAGTGGGAACCCTTTCTGCAGTGAGGAGCACTACAGGCTCTTTGTTGTTGCTCACCTTCCCAGCCTGGTGTACTTGGACTTCAAGCTGGTGAGAAAGTCCACGGTGAGATTTCTGCATTCCCTGCCTGGGAAATCAGGCAGCAGCATCTTACAGAGCCTCTGCTTTGTTGGTGTGCCAGCAATATTCCAGCACTGGGGGCAGGTTCCCTGCAGAAACCAGGCTCACAGAAACGTACAGTGTTTATTCTGCTTCCACATAACAGCTGTGAACCTGTAGGCCAAATTCTGTCAAATCTGACAGAGAGGTAGAGGTGTCAGAAGTATGATGTCTTCACAGATTCTGTGAAAATCAGCAGCTGTGTGTGGGAGAGGGGCCTGGTTCGTGTTGCCACAGAGAGGCTGCAGTGTGAGTGCAAGTCTTTCTCAGAGAATCTCAGAGGAAATCAGTCTGGAGAGCTGGATCCAGGGGAAAGGAGCCTTGGTGCTCCTGCTGCCCACACAGCGATTTGTTTCAGCAGCAGCCTGACAATCCGGGCCAGCAGGTGCCTGGATGCACTTCCCACTTTTGATTTCTGAGAATAAGACACTTCATCCTCACCTGTGGAGCTGCTTTATCATCCCAGGGCTCAGAGGAACAAAGATGGGGTTTTTTTATTCAGGGTTTGTTTGGTTTTTTGTTTTTTTTTTTTTTTAGTAACCAAAGAACATGATTAATTGTAAATTTGCTTGGCACAGAGCAGGAGCTGTGCTTGGAATGTGCATTGCTCTTACCACAGGATTGGAAGGGTTTTCCAGGTCGTGGAATGCAGTCCCTGCTCATCAGGGATGTCTCAGAATTGCACACTTAAATTTGTCAAGCTTCAGTTTCAAGCTAATGAGGTTCTTGCCCCTGGTACTACCTTGCCATCCACTCCTCCAAAGAATCTGCTCCTCCCTAGAAAATGAATTAACCTCGCTGACTGATCAAATTGGAGCTCAGATTCTAGAAGTCAAAATAGAACTTCCTGCTAAAAGAGGAAAAAAATCCAAAAAAACTCTAAAGATGAGAAAATGGAGAGAGAAAAGCTTCCTGGGACTGAATTATCTTAGATGCATTGAATGCAGAAACAGATAAATGTGCCAGCAAAAAATGGGATGAGGATTAGATTAGAGACTTCATAAGTACTTTAATAGAAAGCCCATGAGGGAATGGAGAGGCAGATGCCACTCTGGTGCACATTCTAGAAAGATCAGTTGCTTACACCCTGACTCACTGAGCAATGCAGGCTAATCCAATACAAATATTTTATTTATATTTCTCAGGCAAAAGCTGCAGCTTTAAAGTATCAACATCTCACTAAGCCATTGGAGGAAGAGGAGGCTCAGGTCCTGGCCCTGCAGGAGGTGGAAGATGCAAAGCAGAAAGAGCTGGAGCAACAGCAGGTGAGTTTTCTTTGGCTGGTTGTGTCCTGTCCCAGGAGAAAGAAGCACAAACACACACTGAATTGTCTTCTCCCTGCTTGAAGATTTAATGAGAGGTTAAATTTGACTCTGCTAAAACCAAGGCTCAGATTAATCTCTGTGATCTCTGAATCTTATCTTTTGGGTGGAAACAGGAGCTGCTGTGGAGTACACATGATGTGGGGGAACATAATTCTTTGGGCTGAACAATGAAACTACAGATAGAGAACCCTGCAAAGCTGAATAGTAAATCATACCCAGGGAGCTTATCAGCCAGATTAGGAAAATTACAGGTCTGAGGGAAATGTTAACATTTTCATGGTGAAGTGACTTTTTTTTTTCTCTCCTTCATACTAAGTCAAGCTTTTCATTAGTTTTATGGTTAAACTCTCCAGGAAATTTGGAGATCACTGTAGTCCTGTGACCAGGCTGAAAGCAAGACCAGGTGGAATGGTGCTTTCAATTGCAGCCTGGCTCTGTATTCCAGACCTCTGGAAGATCAGAGTGGCTTAAGTTTAGTGTTGAGTGCCAGGGAGGATGCTGACACTCTTCCTTTGTACCTCCCCAAAGTTCACCAGGTCCTTATCTGAGAGGTTAAATAGCCTTGCAGTCAGTGTTTGTATGTGCTGATGTCTTATACTGGCAAGGGGCACAGGTTGCCCAGAGAAACTGGCACCCCTGAAGAGTTCCAGGCCAGCTTGGATGGGGTTTGGAGCAGCTGGGAGAGTGGAAGGTGTCCCTGCCCATGGCAGGGGCTGTGATTAGATGATCTTTAATGTCCCTTCCAGCCCAAACCATTTTATGACTCCGTGATCTGATGCAAGATTAAACAGTGTTTTCTACCCTTAGCTGTAACAGCAAAGCCCCTGGGATGGGTTTCACTCCAAGGTGCTTTTGTGGCTTGTTGGTATTTCTGCTGTGTTCATGTAACTGTGTCTGCACCCAGTTCTGCTGCTGCTGAGGCTCTTACAGGAGAGGCACATCCTGAGCACTGCCAGCAGGCTGGCATCTCTGTTTTACTTATTTTGCTCTGTTTCTCTTCAAAGGCAGCCTTTGTGGAGTACCTGAATGGGCCATTCCTGTTTGACAGTCTGCATGAAGAGGAAGGAGAAGCCACCAAACTGGTTTCCCTCCCTGGAGTGGAGGAGCTGCTGCAGGAATATCCTTGCTGGGTTTGGAATACCCACAGCTAACAGGTAATGCCTTGAGTTCAGAAGGAAGTGCATCCACAGGGACTCTTCATCTGCTGCTTTTGTCCAGAGCTGAAAGCTGCATTGATCTAAGATCTGAGACAGTCTGTGTTCAATTTTGGAACAGTACCAAGAGTTACACTGCAAGGCTGGGAGACCACTGACAGCTTTAAGGCATGATATCTTGTGAAATATGAGGGCTCCAAACAAATGGTTTATATTACTGACAAGCTGGCCAGCCCAGCTTGAGACATCCCATTTGTAAAACCACTCATTTCTATCCCAAACAGGTCATGAGATCCCAGCTTTTTAAATTCCCACCATTGTAATTACCATATTCCTTTTCCTTCCCTTGAATCAAACATGATTTCTGTAGCCTCCTTTCCTGACCCTTCAAGAATCAAGACTTTGTACTTTCTTTAAGTCTGGAATCCACCTTAAGTTTAAAATGAGCTGGAAGATAAATCTCTGTCTGTTAGATTGTAAGAGCACAGTTGCTAAAATCATGTTGAAATTGAAGTGGTAGGAGATAGGAACAGACTCATCAGAGTGATACAAGTCACATATCTCACAACCTGCCAGAACTGGCAAAGGGAACTTTCCAGGCCAGCACATTTTTCTGATCATTGCTCCTACACGGGGGAGCAGAAAGCAGACACTTTTTTTTTTTTTCCTTTTTTTCTTTTCTCATTCAGATTAATAGGGCATTGTCAAGGCCAGTAACTTGACCTTCCTTAAAATTGCATTACACTGTTGGGGGAAAATGCATCACGGCTTAACTACAATAGACTCCAGAAACAATTCCATTGCCAAGATAATAGCAGAAGAAAAATTGACGTTATTTTTGTGATGCTACCAAGTCAGTAGTTTATTCTGTGCTCTGGCTGTGGGCTCCAGAGCTGTATTTATTAACTACACAGGCACTGTATTCACACTTGGGAAGACAGATAGGGTTGTAGGCTTCCTTCTGCTGCTGTGTCAGAAGAGTCAGACAAGTGAATGTATTTTCTTCTCTTCCTCAAGGCCTTTTTCCCCCCTCAAGTTGCCATAGCTTTCTCCATACCCTTAAGGCAGCAAAACCCCATGCATAAAACGTGAATGGGTGACCCAGCCCTGCCCCAGACTGAATATTTGGCAGCTCCCAGCAAGAACCACAGAGTTTACATAGAAGTAGCTCGTAGCTCTTGTTGCTCAGATTTGCAGAGGCAGAAGGAACACAACATGTTGCTCCACTGAACAAGCAAAAGACCTTGACTCTGCTGTCACATACAAGGAGGAGTTTGTCTCAGTTTGTGAGAGCCTGTATAACTATGGGCTGGAAGAGTATGAAAAACGAGAAGCTGAAGTCTCTAAATTCTACAAGAGACTCCATGAAATTCTGGCAGTGAACCAGGAAGAAAGCAAGAGAATAATCTCGGACTTTGAGACTCGGAATGAAACGGTAATGTTATACTTTTGTTTGTTTGATACATGATTTCTCCACATCCTGTACCATTAAAGTCACCAATATTTAAGAAAATGGAAATGCTCAACCTTCCTTTTAGTTTAAATATTTTTATAGGTTGATTTTTTAAGATAATTAGACAGATAGATGTTTACTGCTACTCCCCTTCTTTTTGAAGCTCCAATAACTCTTCCTTCATTGAAAAACCAGCAAGAAAAGGAAGGAAATTGCAGGGTATTCAGTTTATTTTCAAGTAATTTTCTGCTTCACTTCATTTTCTCAACAACAGCTCAAAGAACTATAACCAAAAAAAAATTAGAGAAAGTTATTTTAATGCATTTCTAGTCCTTTAAAGCAGAAACTCTCTTTTCATTCTGCTCTATCACAGCCACCCATTGTGGCCGCTCAGGGCGTAGCTTCTAGCTGGATCCCTTTCTAACCATGTATAATAGATGGATCATGATTTTGTTTCCAGAGGAAAAAAAAAAAGCAAATAAGGGAGGGCTAAAGCCTGGTGGCACTGTCAGCTGAGAGAGCAAGGCCCTGACAAGTGACACCAGCAGAGTCACAAGCGCTGGCTCCCGCTGGAAACCAGGTCGCTTCTATTGCAGTGCCTGTCACAGGCTGGCAGCTGCTGAGTCACTCTGCTCCCAGGGCCTTGAACCCTGCTGACTCACGCTGGAAATCTGCAGCCAGCAGCTTCAGGGGCTGGCAGCACCACCAGAGTCACAGAATTGCAGGATGGGTTGGGTTGGAAGGGACCTTACAGAGCATCTCGCTCCAAACAGAAGTTTGGTTTGAATGTTCGGTTAACTTGTGCTTGAATTCTCACTGTATCTTCCATGAAAAAAACCCTAAACCAGCAAAACAAACCCTGCAAAACAACAACAAAACCCAAAGATAGAGAGCTGAGGGCAGGTTTGACCCCTTCACGTCTGCCTGACCCACAGGCTCAGCGATGGATTGGGCTACAAGGGGTGAAGAGGGGGAAGGGCCTAAGCTGAAGGAGGAGTGGCTTAGATGGGATATTAGCAAGAAATTAGATTCAATATTAGGAAGAAATCCTTCTCTGTGTGGGTGGAAAGGCCCTGGCACAGATTCCCAGAGAAGCTGTGGCTGCCCCTTCCCTGGAAGTGTCCAAGGCCAGGCTGGAAAGGGCTTGGAGCCACCTGGGATAGTGGGAGGTGTCCCTGCCCATGGCAGGGGGTGTTACTGGATGATCTTTATGGTCTTCCTCAATCCAAACCATTCTGGGATTCTGGGATTCTCTTAAACAGGGTTCAGCATGCCAGTTTTCACATAAATATTAGAGGAATTGGTATCAAAACCCAACACAGTGTTTTAACATCATTTCCCCGCCATTTAAAATTGCTGGAGGAGTTCAAAAGGCACAGAGGCCCCAGCAGACTGCAGTCTGTGAGCTGTTCTTAGGGCTGTTTGTCTGTCTGTAATCCTTTCATGTAAACTTGGGTAACCTGTAAAATCACTGTGCTCTCTGAAGTTGGTTATGGAGGATTAAAGGCCTTGAACTTTGAAGTTATTGCTCCCAGAGGTGCAGCTTGAGTGGCTCTGGAGCCTTTTGAGTCTCCTAACTTGTTTACGTTAGAAAAGAAGACACCTTGCTCTCCCCTTCCCCCTTTTAAACTGCAAAGTTTGGGTAATCCACCCCATTTCCAGACACAAGCCTTGGCAGGAGTTTTTAACAGAATTCTTTGTTTCACCCCATTCCATTCCCTCTCAGAAGAAGTGGATTAGAGACATAATAAAACACATATATTTTCCCTCCTTTTTTAGTTGATTGTAAACTGATTTTAAACAGACTTGAAAATAACACATTCAGCTCAAGAGGATTTTTTTCTTTTTTCTTTTTTTTTTTTTGATCCCAGCAAACATAAATCTTGCCTGATACAAAAGTGACATCAATACATAATTCTGAAGGGCAATAAATCCTTGCTGTAAGAGGAAGGCAGGCAATGATAGGTATTCCATATTCAGAATACTAAATCCTGACCCTACTGGAAGTCAGTCAAGATTCTCCTTGGCAGGAAGATCAGGATTTACACCTGCCTTTCTTTCTCCAAAGCAATTGTTAATTTCTTCTTCACAGCCTGCAATGTCAATAATGAAATATTGTTCTTTTTTGCTGGAAATGAAGGGAAGCATAGAAGGAGCAAAGTCTTGTGCTGAGTGGAGCATGAGGAAGAGTTTTCCCAATCCCCCTGCAGTAGCAGAGCTCAGAACTGTTGACTACCCACTATGTAAATCTGGAGACTTCCCTGAATCATCACATTTCATTTCAGCTAATCAGCAGCAGGAACTTTTCTCACACATGTAACAAGTTAATTAAATTGCAATGGAGTGCTGAACACAAACCATAATTCATGTATCTCTGTGTTTAGAGGCTGGATGAGCTCTATCAGGACGGGAGTGGTGAAATCGCTGACTCTAAGCGAGCCCAGGGCAAGGAGGAGATCCAGCAGCTGTGGCATGCACTGATGCTCTTGGAAACTCTGGTATCCAACGACCTGGAGGTGAGATCCAAGCTCACACCTGTGGGACTGACAGCCAGAACCTTGTGGGGTCACCTCTCTGTCACTGCAGCCCTGTGTAGCAGTTTACTCACAAAGAGGGGGGCACAGGATTTCCACTCAGGAAAATGTTTCACCCCCATCTTTTCCTTTCTCTGTTCAAAGTTGATGGGAGTGAGATCAGGCCCTGGACATTGCTGCCTTCCAGCAGATTTCTGTTCCTCAGAGCAGAGCACAGCATGTCCATCACATCTCTCCAAGCTGATTTCCTACACTTCACAGGCAGGGAGATTGTGCAATCACTTTCTAGGTCTGCACAAGCTGCTGCATAGCATGGGGTACGCATTTGGAATTCTAGAGGTGTCATTCTTTGAAGCTGATCTTTGCTATAAGATTACACACATTCCTGCTCAGCTTGCTGCATTTGCTTGCATAATAGCTGCCTCTTCCTCCCCAGACTTTTCCTCAAGAACTAGGGCAGGGCTGCTGATGAGCATCTTCATCGGAGGAAAAAACCCAAAATAATCTGTTTAAAAATGAGCAGGCAGGAGCTTTGCCCTGTGTGCAGCAGTTTAGTTTGGTGAGCATGGATGGCAGAAAGCAGCAGCTCAAAATGGATCCTCCCTGCATCAGGATTTTGCCTTTTTAGTGTTTTCTGAGTTGGCCCTTACGTATCTGATGGGATGAGCAGAAACATTTCCTCCCTGTGTGCCCTGCTGGATTTGCAGGATTCAGCTACCAAGACATTTAAGTGCAGCACTTCACAGATTCTCCATCAGCCATTTCTGAGAGGGGGAACAGGCACCTGCAATTTTAATTTCTGAGGACTAAACCAAGAGCTTAGTTTAGTCTAGTAAAGCCAGTAAAGCCCAGGCAGGGGTTGTGCTTCTGACAAGAGGCTCTCCATGCAGCCAAGGACAAGGAGGCTGCAGCAAGGCAGGGGATGGGAATGAACCCTCTCCAGGCACTGCTTAGGTGACAAAGGCTCCCCTGGCTTACTCCAGACACACAAAATGCTCGAGGCAGTTCAGTGTCTGACTGTGCTAATCACAGCAGTGAGTGCAAATTACAATAAGTTGTAGATTCCTCCTAAACTCCCTGACTCCCTGTTATGTTTGTGCAAGTTTTCATTGTGTTATTTCCTCTTTTTCCCCTCTGTTAAGGAACTGTTACAGGATTTTAAAAGAAGCCTTGATGTCATAGCATCAACATTCACTGAAAACATTCAAGGGATATATCCTTTTCACAGTAGGTTGGCCTGGACCTCTCAGTCATGTACCTACACCTCACCTCTAAATCCAAAAATGAGCCAAAAGTATAAAAACTTTTTTTTTTTATTTTAATCAATAGAAAATATCTTTTCTCAGCCTTTAGAAATGGTCATTTAAGGTGCCTATCTTCTTTATGTGGAGACTCTGGAGAGCACAGAGAGATCTAAATTCTACTGTGCTGAAATTCTGTAGGATTTAGGCAGCTTTCACCCTGTTGGGAATCTTCCTTTCTTCTCCATGCAGAGAAGACAAAACAGAGGGAAGATCTGGTTAGATTGTTGTCTAGCTACATTTCTGCCATAGCAGTAAATGAAATATCTACAATTCTGGTTGATTACTCTTTAAATGGTGTTCATTTTTGTATTTTTGATGTGTGCTGAAAAAAAGTTACATGAGAATACTGAAATGCTTGAGTGTCAGGTCACGCTGCTTTAAATCTAGAAATGTGATGGCCTGGTGCAAATAACTGCAGAGCATTCAGAGCTGAGCTGTCACCTGGAGGCCTCTTCCAATTTCCCTGGCAATCCTGGGTCCTCTCAGTCCTCTGTCATATTTGGCAGTAAAGATGAGACTCAGTGTGTGATTAAGAACTGGGAGTTTGTATCCTGATATCCTGACCCCACAGCAGCCTCTGGGAGCAGCCAGGCTCATTTCTGCAGGATCCCCCTGTGCAGACACTCAGTCCCAGTTACAGGAGGTGATTTAACCCCCACAGATGAGTGGTGTGCTCAGCTTTTTCCTTAACCACGTTCTGTACGTTCAACCAGTGCCGGGACCTGGAAAATCAACACTTTGAGAAGGTGATGGAGATCGTCCAGGCCATCCTGAAGAAAATCGCCCTCTTTGAGCTTGAAGAGGATTTTCCAGAGGATCTTCGAGCGGTGAGGGCACCAAAACAATTCATCTCTGTGAGAGATTAGGCAAGAAAATGAGGCTGTAGCCTCTTGTCTGAAGGGACAGGATTTCCAGGAGGCTCGGTGCTGCCAGAGCCACACCTGAACCACAGCGTAACCTCCTTCCTAGAGGGTCCAGCTGCTGTGGTGCCTCTGAGCATCTCCACTGAGTGGGACAGGGGATAACTGCACTGCAGGTTTCCCTGGGCACTGCCAGAGCTGGTGGCAGCAGCCCAGGAGAGGTGCTGAGGAAATCTCTCTCCTGCCTCCAGCACAGCTCACTGCTCTGGCTGATTTCCAGGCACTCAGGCTGCATTTTTGCTGCACTCCCTCACAGCTGGTTTCGTTCAGACTCTCCCTGCTCCCTCAGCAGAATCCCAACACTGCTCTGAATCTCTTACACCAGGGCTCTGTTTGCCTCAGTGATTTCAAAATCCCTTTCTGGAGCTCCTGAGCCCACGAGCTGATCTGGAGGCAGGACACAACACTTTAAATGGAGCCTTCCACTGAGCCCTCAGTCTTGCTCTGCAAACAAAGATCCCAGGAGCCTTTCCAAAAGCACCAACACCATTGCAGTGCTCCACTCAGCAACACCGCTGCCCTTTTTGCCTCCATAATTCCTCCATTTAGTGGCTAAATTACTTAAATTTGCATTAGCTGTGGTTTTGCTCTGTCCAGATTATCCCAGCCCCCTGTCACTGCAGGTAATCACGAGCTGACAGACACAAACCAGACCCCTGAGCCCCCAGGGAGCTGCTGCTTTATGGCCTGTGCAGATGGTGGTGGTTCTGCACTGCTGCCCTGCACCCATTTTGCTTCACTGCCTTCCATTCCCATGGAGAAGGGGATTCATTTACCCAACAGCTGCACTTGGCTGCAGGAGGAGCCTCATTACGGGCTAGCGAAGCCACCCTCTATTTAGAGCCACGAGGGAAGTCACTGCTTCCATTAGAAGCTGGGACTCTCCAAAAATGAAGATTTACAGCCAGTGCCAGCAGTGCAGGAATCCCTTCCAAGTGTGATTTTCCATTTCCAGGCATGCTGGAGTATATTCAGCCTTTCTTCCACACCAGCTGCATGGCAGCACTGATCTCCCTATTCCAGCATGTGGGGCCAAGGCTGCTGCCTCTGTTTCCCCACCTGTGTTAGGGATAATGCCCAATTTCACTGCAGCAAGGCCAAGGGTACAGCCCTGGATTTATCCCAATGAGAGACGGGATTTGCCAGGTTGAGACAGAGGGTTTCTCCCTGTGAGCACTGCTGTGCTGCTCGTTCCTTGTGTGCTCTCCCCTCCTCTCATCCTGTCACGTCACCTCCCAGCTCTTTGAGGACAAAATCACCGTTGTGAACATCACCAGCATGTCCCACAGCATCCGCCTGCGCAAGATTGATAAGCGCGAGAGCGACATGCTCTCCAACACCTACCAGTGGCAGAAGTCAGTGAGAGAGAAGGTAAGAGACCCTCACACTCAGGGGGATGGGGCACTGTGAGGAGAGGCACTCCCAGGTCCTTGCTGGACCTTGACACGCCTGCAGAGTCACTGCTTGGTTTCAATCTGTCCAGGCTTTCCAAAGGGAGAGCGACAGAAACCGCACCTGTATCGAAAAGATCATTTGCTTCATGGACACTCTGCAGAAGGAGCTGGATAGCACAGTGGTGAAGCCTAAAGAATAGGACTGGGGAGCTGCCTCAGCTGGGGCACACAGGACAGCCCCCAGCAGGAACAGCTGCCCCTCCATGGCCAAGCTGCCTAGGACATTTCAGTCCAAATCCACATTTCTTCCATCTACCATAAACTGCAAATAAAAGCTGCTTCTTGACTGTGGAAAAGCATCCAAAGCCCTGTCTCTTCCATCACGTTGGCACAAAGCCTGTGCAGACAACTCAGACCTGGTCACAAGGGGTTATGGATCAGCTGTGAGCTGATTGAACCAAATCATTGTAGCATATAATGCCTGAAAGCTTCGGTACCTGCGAGCTCAGTGGCAGGAACCTGTGAGCTGCTGGCACGAGGCAGCAGCTCAGGAGAGGAACACTCTCCATCAAACCACCCCCGAGATAGCAGCAGGTTTCCAGCTCAGCAAGCACAGGGCTGGCGGGGGCTCCGCATGCCTGGGAGCCTCATCCTCTCAGCCCTTCTCGCAATCAGCTTTCTGCAGCGTGAGCAGAGCAGCCCCCAGCCAGCGGGAAGGGAAATCAATGGTTCCACAGGAGCGACAGCCGAGCGAGGAGTCATTAATTCCCCTCCTTGCTCGGTGACAGGCTGCTCCTGAGCAACGCTGCCGGCCGGGGCGCTGCTGCTCCAGGCAGGCAGCAAGGAGAAGGTGGGAAGGTTAAACGAGAGGGTGGCTCTGTGTGCTGCCAGGGCCAGGGCAGGTCTCAGAAAAACCCGTGGCTGATGCTGCCTGTCAAACACACATTCAGCTCATCGTGCTCTGTGCTTCTGAACCAGGCTGCAGCCCAGGTTTTACCCCTCTTGCTCCGGGACTACTCAGTTGTCTCCTTGCTCCCTCCTCAGCTGCATGGAGTGGTTCACACAGTAGTTAGTGTCTGCTCTGGTCTGTGATTTTTAATACCTGGAGCCATCCCAGCACCTGCCCACAAGCTGGCAGCTCAGGACCCACCCCACAGTGTGGTGAGTAAGACAAAGACACTCAGCTTTGGTACCTCACAGGGGCGAGTCTTTAATGGAACACAGAGACCCTGGTGTTACAGACAGGCACGCAGAGGGATGAACAACAGATGCAGTGGAGTCTGTTTTCAGATTTCCATAACAAGTGTGTGTCAGGAGCTGGCAGCTATGAAGACATGTGGCATATGCTGGGTATGTCTGTGCCGTGCCCTGCCCAGGAAGCTGCTTCTGCCGCAGGAGCTCCTCTGATGAGTTACAGACACCAGGAAAGGACAGAGCTGCTGGCTTGGGGATTCAGAGGAGACTCACCTTGACCTCTCCTCCTTGTGTGCTGCACTGCAGCAGGCAATCCAACTGAAGAACTGCCCACAAAACCACAGCACATGAAGCTGATCCCAGGAAAAGTGGAATGGCAGGAAGGTGGCTACCATCCATTGTGTCAGGCCAGCAATTCCCAGCTGGACATTTTCTTTCTGTGCCCTGCCCAGCTGCCTCAGTCCTGCAACAGCTTGTGCTTTACAGTTGAGCTCTCTGAGCAGAGGTGAACAAAGAGAGTCCCAGCTGCAGTGCGGGCACGCAGCTCACACAGGTCGTAGTCGTGGGCCCACTCCACGTTGCCCCAGCGCTGGATCTGAAGGAGAGGAGGAAAATGGATCACACCCAAAGCACCTCAGCAACTCTCAGCTTCCCTTCTCATGTTTGTGAAGCACAGGTAACCCCCCCCCAGGAACTGAGATGATCCTCGACTGCTGAGGCAGGGATATCTCGAGATCAGGATGTGCTTCATCTGTGCTGGGGTCTGAGGCAAAGCCTCTTAACGGGAGGATGAAATGATTCCCAACTTCAGCCACTTTTGGGACAAGGAGAGCTTCACACCAAGCTAATTTCCAGCAAGCTTGATATCTTGGTGTCTACCAAAGCCTCCAGGCTGGATAACCCTCAGCAGGAGAAGTCAGCCACAACTTTGCACTTCAGATTAGAGAGGGAGAAAAGCAGCCATCTGGGCTCTGTGAAAAGAAACTGGCAGCCCTGGGAGCACTCTGGGCTGCTGTGCCCGTGGTGCTGCTCTGCAGCAGCACGCTCCAAACACTCTCAGACACACAGACTGGTGGAGTGGAACGTCTCCTGCTATAGCAGGCACTTCCCCTGCCAGTTATTTGTGGTGGGGGATGCATTTGTCATGCTGAGATTATTGCTATTTGAATTATAGGGCTGTTTTGTAACATAATTTACCTGGTATTCTTCCTCCAGGCGAGACAGAAGCACAGCTTTCTCGACTGTAATGTGCCTGTCAATCAGGCTCATGGACAGAATCAGCGATTTCAGCTGGGTGATTACAAATTCTATACCTGGAAGGGAATAACCCAAACCAAACAAGATTCATGGCTGTTTTCTGCAGCATTACAGCAGCATCTTCACACACTCTGAAGAGACAGGCAGGCTGTGGTACCCCCTCAGGGAGGGCCAGTGATCCTCCCACCTGCACCTGGGCACTCAGGTCTGTGGTTAACACCAGAGCATTGTGCTGGCCCTGCCAACACAGTGACAAAGGCCATGCCCTGGACACCACCTCCTTTTATTCTGCCACAACCCTTCCCTGTGCAAAGGGAACAGACATCCATGCAGGCTCGAGCATTCTGTGTCTTTTGTGGGTTTCACTGCCTGCTGCTCATTCAGGGCTGGAGCAAAGCAAACCTCCCTTCATTTCTTTATCTTTTGGTGTCGTTCAGATGATTCAGGCAAGATTAAGTGAGATATAAGGATAAAAAAGAGAGCACAGTGCACAGTGTGGGCACTTTGGAGTACTAAGCCTGATTTCTTTTCCTGGCAACAACAAAGCTAGGGATTAAATCATTAGAAGGTTTGGCATTAAAGAAGTTATTTGTGCTGAGGTGGAGCAAGCAGCTCATGGGACAGCACAGTCAGGTCCTGAACACCAGTGGCACTGAAGAGAATCCCTGCCTGTGACAAAAGCAGGTCAGGGCCTGGCCTGGAGATTTAAAACACAAACCTCCACACTAGGAGCAGGAGAAGAAAAACATTCCAATCACTCTCCTGCCCCATGGAGAGGAACCTCCTCCTCCTCCTCCTCAGTGGCCCAGCCCCACTCACCTTGCAGGGCCCACATGTTGTAGGATGCCAGGTGGTTCACAAAGGTCTCCTTGGTGCTGGCTGGAATGTTTGGCCCCAGGATGCTGGTGGAGGAGCCAATTGTCACATTGTACCTGCAATGAGCACCCAAACCCTCAGCAAAGCCCAGGGCTCACGGAGCTTGAGCTCATAAAGCACCAGAGCTCCTGGGCTGAGCAGGGCAGGGCCTTGAGCAGCCAGGAACCCTCTGAGCTCTCACCTTTTCTCAGCCCAGGCAACCACAGGATCCCATTCATTCTTCTGTAGCTCTGCCAGGGCTGGAGGCTCCTCCACACGATAGCTGGGACATGACAGAACAAAACCACCCTGGATGGTCCCTCCCAGGCTGGGACAGGCCTCTGGGAAGGACACTGACCCCACCAGACCCACTGCAAGTGGGACAGGGACCTGCTGTCCACACAGGCAGCAGTGACAGGGAACAATCCCCCAACCCTTCCCTAAATTCAGTGCTTTTGGTTATGCCAGGAAGGACAATTCTGTCTTACTACCAAACAGAGCAGTGAACCAGCCAACTCAAAACTGCAGGCAGCCCAAGCCACAGGCTGAAGTGAGGTTTAGCAGTTAGAGGAGGGTACAAACCCCACTGCAACTCTCTGTGGGGCCACTCCTGCTTCTCCTTGCCCAGTGGCTCAGCTCAGCATTCCCTGCTCCCCCAGTCTGACCAAAGCCACAAGGGCAGGTGAGGGAAGCCAGTTCCTCTCTCTCCACAGGAACTGTGGAGGCTGGGACAGGAGCCTGGGCATGAATGGGCTTGATCCTACAGCTCACAGGGACTTTCAGGAATGAAGGGCATTTTGGGACTGGTACAAGTAGTCTGAGCTCTCTGCACTGGCACAGGAATACCAGGGACTGGCTGACAGATCCCCACAGGCCTTTCAAAGCTGTTTTCTTTTCTCCAAGATCTTCATTTCCCACTGCTCTCACCCTTGCCCAGCGTTCAACAGGGGACCAAATCCAATGCTCCTCTGGGAGCACAGACTCCAACCAGGTTTGCACGTGCAGGACTGATCTAAACTAATTCAAACCCTCGGGCAAAAACCAGCTCAGATCAGAGCCAAGCCATGACTGAGGGAGTGCAGATGCCTTCCCCCACTTTACCCAGCCCTCTTTCCAAACTCCAGCTGGGTTCCCATCTCATACCAGACCGTGTCTGTCTCCAGGAACTTCACAGCTGCTCGGATCAGCTGCGTTTTGTTTCGCTGTGTGGGATTGTCCAGCGCTGTGTTGCACAGGGTGGTCTGGGGATAAAAGCAGTTGAAAATGCTGTTATTCTTATTCCAGGCTTGAACAAGCAGCAGCTTCCATGGTACAATGCCAAGAAGAAGCAGAGGGATTTGTGGCAGATGAATAACTGAGGGGTGAGGGCCACAAAATGGTTAATGTAATAATATCTTCTCAAATCTTTCAGGATCCCTGGAAACAGCTCATTAAGCAGCAGGGAAAAGGAGCATGGATTGCTCCAGAGCTCAGAGAGCTCAGTTTCCTCTTGCCCCTCACTATTCCCAATGACACTGTCCAGCCCCTTCTCAAGTTCCCCTAGTGACACAGATTCCCTTTAGACAGCCCAGAGGAAGCCCCAACTTTCTGCTCACTAGGAGCAGGACAACCTGCTGCCCCCACACCCTGCATTTGGAGGCCTCAGCACTGCACCCTGCCGTGCTCACCAGGTGCATGGTGTAGAACTTGATGGTGTCTTTCTGGGAGTCCCACTCTGTGGCCACTGCAATGGCCAAGGCCTCACTGGGCACAGTGAAGAGCTTGGCCTGGGGCGTTTTCAGCTTCCGGTGGTCCAGGTTTATCTCAAAGCCTCCTGGGGAATCAGAGTAGAAATCCTGGGGAATCAAAGAGGAGCAGGCACTAAGGAACAACAGACAACCCCACAGTGGGAGCAGATGCAGAGCTGGAGCTGACAGGGACCAGGAATACTCAGGTTTTCCCTCACTTGGTCCTGGAAGCTGCTTCTCACTGTGCAGCTTTGCTGCAGATGAGGGGATACAG